TAATGGAAACTTTTCCTTATTTATGGTGGCCATTATTGCCAGAATTATGATAAGCTTTATACAGAGACAACTTTGCTGTCACCAACAACCCACTATACATTTTTCTCGCACAAAGACACGTCCATCTGGGGTTAGAAATTTATAGCCAAGAATAAGGTTTTAAGTATATATATGGTGCAAAAATGTTGCTAAACCCTTAATTCATTAACCAAGTATGAGGTACATTAATGGAACCCAAAATACCTTAAACTTTTTAGGTGGAAGATGACAAGGAGAAAATTTTAAACCCAAGAGATCGCACCAAGTTAGATCCACACACAAATTATTAACCCCAAGGAAAAAAAAATTAAAGGTGAAAGCAAAGAGAATCCGTGAGCAGAAACAAAAGAACAAAAGGAACGGGGCAACTGTCAAACATCATTAGCACGTAAGAATTTGGTTTAACTTCAGTAGTAATCTTCATATAATGATTCATTTTCACTCTTAATCAAGCTTTTTTATCATGCACCTTTTTTTACTTAGTACATAAGCATAATTATGCACTACTAAAAAAAAAAAAAAAGAAAAACTTTCTCAAAGAGAACAAAAAAATCAACCATTGTCACAGGCCACTAGAGGAAAATGCGAGCCACTTAATAAGGACAGTGGTAATTATTAGAAATGAAGACATTTCCAAAAAGTTGCATCCTGCAAAATTAACGCAAATAGAAATCTTAAAAACACGTATCGTCCTACACATGATCAAAGCGGTTTTGTTAGGTTCAAATCAGGAAGTTTGTGGACCATCCGTCCATCCGATATAAGTGTGGCTTCGACCAATGATTTAGCTGATCACGGCATCCAAAATAAAGCTTCATGGAATGAACGGCGCAAAACAAATGTAATTTATAAGAGTTTACTTCCTCCATTCATACTCATCCTCTCTTTATTCTTTACTCTTTCTAAACACAATATATATATACAGTCACTTTTGTTAATTCACCTTTCGACCTTATATATATATATATATGTCGTTGTAACTTGTAAGGTGTTGAGTTTCAATTCTGAAATGCTTTTCCTTTGTGGTCGTAAGAGAGCGAAAGCAAGCAAAGGCATGAAGGCCACGCTGAGATACTTAGCAGGAATGGCAGGGCCTAGTGGTTATGGCTCAAATTCAACAGCCGAGCAAGTCACTGAAGATTGTTCTTGCTTTCTCTCTTCTCAGCTAACTGCTCTCATCACAGGTAAGCCTAAGAAGAACACTTTCTTCTCATCATCTCACGAACAGATGTTTCTTCTGAGGTGAATATATATATATATATATATATATATTTATCTATAAGGACCATGTGTGGTTGGTTTGATTGGTTTTCTTCTTCCTTGTTTTCTTTTCCCTTCTTATTATTCTTCAAGGCTCCGGTTAAATGATGAGTGCGTGCATGAGTTGATTCAGGAGATTTATAAATGCCAGATTATGTTGTTATATCACTTCCAGCCATCTTCATTTCAGTTGCAGCTCTGTTGTTCCCCTCCTTTTAGTTTGATTTGACAGAAAAGTTTGACAGATCTGTTTCCCCGGTTCATTTTCAGAAAACCGTAAAATACCGACACTTCAGAACTACTAGAATATAATAATATTGATGAGACACTACACTTATATTTTGTTTTGTTTCTATATGTGTTTATCCAGCGACACGCACAAAACCATACGAGTCATGTCTTGTTTCGTGTTTGTGTAAAATGAGACTTATTAACTAGCTAGCTGAGGAATTATGCATGAAGCTAAGATTTGTTTATTATGGTTACTGTCCCTTTTTTTTTTTTTTTTTGGGTGGGATTGAGGAAAGTGGGAGTTAGCCTGGCAGTGGCACCCGTGAGTGTACCATAAAGAAGGATGGTGATTTTCTTTATAGCAGCAACAAGACATGATTCTGTCTCCTTCTGTACAATTCTTTTTTCTTCCATATCGGTTCACACTTGAGGTCATATCACCCCCATCTGCAATACACACCATTAAAAAACAAAGACTCATCATTTCGTCGATCTTTCTCCTTTTCTTTTGTTTCTTTTAATGATTGACAGAATCTGCAGAAGATGTTAGTGTTGGATTAGGTCTTGTTTAAGGAATTAATGGGTGAATTGTGATGTGTGAATGAAAATGAAGGTGGGACTTCTGGGATCGGAGCTGAAACGGCAAGAGTTTTGGCTAAGAGAGGAGTGAGATTAGTGATCGGTGCGAGGGACTTGAAGAAGGCGAGAGAAGTGAGACAGAATATCCAGAAAGAAACTCCAAACGCTGAGATTATAGTGTTGGAAGTCGATCTCAGTTCTTTCGCTTCTGTACAGAGATTTTGTTCTGAGTTTTTGGCTCTACAACTTCCCCTCAATATCCTCATGTAAGTTTGTGGTTCGCTCATATATATCAAACCACCTTGTTATTGTATTATAATAATCGTTCTGAAAGAGGGAATATTTTTTGACAGAAACAATGCTGGAATATTCTCTCAGAACTTGGAGTTCTCCGAAGAGAAAATTGAGATGACATTTGCCACCAATTACTTGGGTAAATTTCAAGTTCTTGCCTTCCTATAGATATATTCGTTCACTTAAATTATTCTTTAACTCCTTATAATTTCGCCAAATTTTGTATTTTTTTGTTGGAATAATTCCATCAAATTTTAATTTATTCTTTGGAATTTAAGCACAATGAATTATAAAAATTTTCAGTTGGAATAAGTCTATTCCGTCCTAATATTTAGAATATTTATAATTGATATTTGGTAATAATATACATGATATTTGATTCAATTGTGTCAATTGGCTTGACTCTACATCCACTATCGTTATGGTCCCCCAGGCATGCATGCGTTATGATCTTTATGAGCTGCAAGGTTAAAGCTTCTGATGTCTGTTTCCAAAGTGCAAAGCTTTTGTAGAAGATGCTTTTTTTTTTTTTATCTGAATTGTAGAAGATGCTTTGACATGTCATTTTTCCTCGTAGTCCAAGTCTGGGAGAGAATAAAAAATAATAATATATCTATATACTACCTCCGGTCCTAATTATAAGATCTCGTTTATAGACTATAAACGAGGCTTATAATTAAGACTGGAGGTAGTATAACCAAAAAGAAACCAAACAATTTAAAAAAATCTTCAATGTGTTTGTTGATGATATTTGGGAATGATTTGTGAATGCAGGACATTTTTTGTTGACAGAAATGCTGCTAGAGAAAATGATAGAAACAGCAGAGAAGAGTGGGATTGAAGGAAGGATCATAAATGTGTCCTCTGTCATCCATAACTGGGTGAAGAGAGAAGCCTTTCGTTTCCACGACATGCTCAATGGAACAAAGTACGACTGCTAGCTTCTTAATTAATTGCTTCCTCTCTTAAAAACATTCTTAGCTGTGTGTTTAATCCTAAGTGCTTCAACATTACGAGTGATACTAATCACCCCTTAATCTTCCATCTGATTGCAGATATAATGGCACACGCGCATATTCTCAATCAAAGTTGGCCAATATTTTGCATGCCAAGGAATTGGCCAGACAGCTTAAGGTCAGAAATAAACACCAAGAAACATTCTTAAGGTTAGAAATAAATGTACCAGTGACAACATTGTACCAATGTTTATCTTTCCCTGATGTCAGGCAAGGAATGCAAAAGTAACAGTGAATGCAGTTCATCCGGGGATTGTGAAGACAGGAATTATCAGAGCTCATAAAGGCCTAATAACAGGTAACAACATAACTATCCTTCAATCCATTTTGGTATTCTTAAATACAATCTGAAATTGAAAATATCTAATCATTTCACCTCATCACTAAATATTCTTAAAACTTACATGCAGATTCCCTGTTCTTCATTGCATCCAAGTTGCTCAAAACAACATCCCAGGTTTGTCAACAAGTATCCTTATCATTAATCAAACAAGTCCTAAGTCTCAAGTTAAGTTATGTGTTTGTTTTCAAAGAGGTTAACAATAATCTATAATTCTATATATGAAATGGACAGGGCGCAGCAACAACGTGTTACGTTGCAGTGAGTGCACAAACACAAGGATTGAGTGGGAAATACTTCGCAGATTGTAATGAGAGTACCTGCTCAAGTCTGGCAAACGACGAATTTGAAGCCCAGAAACTATGGAACAACACTCGAGCTTTGCTTCATAAAAGACTGCGTCAGGCTTCTTCTTGAATGCCTTTAATTTCTTCAAACACCCACCCTTGTGTATATACATAAAAATATAAACACTGTCTACTTACCGCTATAGGACTATTACATTACTAGTCAAACCTCCAGGCATGTTATAATGAAGGCAATTCCAGGTGTAGCTTCACAGTATTGAATTACTTTCTCAAATAAAACTGCATACAGAGTTAAATGTACTCTCACTCCCATTTCTCCTTGCAATTTTTTCTGGCCAAATTCATAGGTAGGGGAATTTCCCTTTTGGATTAAAACGTCGGCATAAGTTAATTAATTCAAGTGTACTAATTCAGACGCCAATAATCTGAAAGATACTCAAGTAATAATAGGATTATTTGGGGATGAAGACATTTTCACTCCCAAAGCATACCTGAAAAAATGTGTAAGCGCGAGATATTTGCTGGATAAGATTACGAGTAAATAAAGACAACATTTTTTAGCATATATGAAGTTATCAAAATATTTAATTTAATTGGAAGCTTTCAGAATTAGGATGGGTTAGACTTGGCATGGATACGTCAGTTAACTAGAGAAGCAAAGTCACTTGTGGGAACCTAATTCAAGATAAAAATGAAACTTGGAAACTCATGTTCATGAAATTAGGTTACATTCCTAATAGCGCTGCTGAAAAGTTAAATATATTATTTAATTACAACATATGTTACATAATCTCTTTACAATACTTATATGCATCATAAAATTATATATCAATTTCTACGTTAGGCAAATTAATCTTTTAAAAAAAACAGTAAATATAAATACTCTAATAATTTATTTAACTTTCTTAATCTCCTCAAATTAATTAAGTTTTATATTTAGAATTGGAGGTAGTGTAAAGATGTCTTGTGCATTTTGGTGATATCCAAATTTAGATTAAAACCCCAGGGTGGGGGGTGATGAAGATCTATTTTATATCCACTGCTCTATTTACATCGTCAAACAAAAGCATGATTAACTGAAGAGCTGTTAAAAAAACCAAATAAGAAATGAGAATAAAAAATAGATGGAAAAATACAGAAGGGCCACACACAGAAAAAGGTTATGTCCTCATACGATATCAAGTTACAATACACATTTTGCGAAGCCCTTAGTATATCTTAGATATGGGTTCAGCCATCTACAATGCCTGTGTCTTCAATCACATGTCAACTTGTTTAGCAGCCTGAGTCATGAGTTATGACTGCATGAGCCCTACAAGACTCAGCGTTTCTCATCCAACAATGTAGGGGTAGCCAAACAGCCTGCACTTGACTTTATTTCCTAGCCTGCCATATAAAAGATCTTAGCATCAATTGATCTTGCGAGAAAACTATCACGATTGTTTCAGCATTCACAGAGCACAACCACTCATGGAATGTTGGCTATCTGGTCAGGAGAGAACAAAGAACCAGGTCGCACAATTTAGGTGATGGAGCGTCTAACCTAAATTGAAAGGAGGAAAAGCTAAGCTGATCAAGGTAGAGGTTCATCAGAATGTCTTTCGTCAACAGTAAGATAAATTTGAGGCAAAATGACAAGCTCAAGGATTCAAATTTCAAACCTCTAGGTCTTCAGTCATTATATTGATTACTGTTGCATGATGTTAGGGAAACAAATCGCTCCCACCAACTTCCAGTTCCAGGTTCTAATATCTATAGTCCCTATATCAAAGACATATGGTCTGATAGCAGCTCTAAACTTATTCTGCTAGAAGCTTGTCAGTTGTTAAAGCCTGAAAAATCATGTTGCCACATCCATTCATAGGACCTCATCTTAGGCTCAAACGTTAAAGAAAGCAAAAGCACATTGAAGCACTATCTCTAACAATGATCAATGTTTATCTACCCTTAAATTTGTATAATAGTGTCCTTGTCAAGGAAAAGGTAAAAATATTATAAACTAACCTCATGATCATAACATGATAATAACTTCTTCTAAGGAGAATTCCAACTTTGCAATAACAACAGATAGTGTTGACAGAGTTAAATCCAAGAAGCACAAGTTACCAATTAGATTCATACCCTCAAACGAGGAGACTGGCGAACTGATGAGGCAGATCCAGGAGACAATGCAGCAGATGTTACCCGTCTTCCGAGGGTTTGTTTCTTGGTAGGTCTCTCACCTTTCATAGGTTGAACTTGATTCTCATTTTTCTTGGTCGGGGAATCACTCCTGAAGGATGATATAGATAGATCTGGAGCAGATGTAGAGATGATAGCAGACTCTTGATGTTCACTATTTAAGGATGCTACACTCCCTGTTAGTTAACTTATTAGAAATTTATGTGAAAGATAAATCGACATCTGCTGATACAAGATAAGCTAATGACTTCAACAACAGTACATTGTATATAAGAAATAATTAAAAACTTCTCTGGTTAAAAAAAAAAATTAGAAATTTCCATTTCAACAAGCATATCATGCCAATTTCCACTACAAAGCAAAATTTCAGGACGCCAGAAGTCAAAGGTATAGACGCGTAAGATAGAACTAAGGCTCCAGGACACTTAGCATCCCCATTTTATGCATCTATGATGATGTTCATATATAAAGCCACAAGTCATACCCTGTGCAACTGCTTCTTGAAACTTCCTCCTCATAACTCTGACATATTTAAATAGCCCATTTGTCTTGTTTAATTCATGAATCAACTCTTTGGTTCCTTTGACGGGGGGTTCACAGTTCAATACTGAAAGAAAAGAAACGAATTCAGATTCACGAAGCATATCATTACATTGTTTTGAGATTATAAACAAAACCAAAATTGCTGCTTACACGTGTAAGTATCATTTTCATGACGGATGGTAAAAAAACACTCCTCATTGGGATTGTTCACATTGATACTCTTGAAGGTAAACTTCACCCCTGATGTGCAGAAGAACTTGTTAAGACATCGAAGAATGAAGAAGAATAAAATTGGACAATATGAACAACATCAATTACCATGTCCGCCTTCAACATGGAATCCAAGGACTGTATTGTACCATGAGATGGCCTCCAGAATTTCATCTTTTCGTTCAGTGCTTCCATTCATTGTCCCTTCAGAATCTGCCAAGGGTTTAGAATATACAAGTGTTTCTCAGAAAGCATGAACATCCAATTAATATAATGCAAAATTGAGAAAGGGAAAAGGAAGTGGGTGACACTACCAGAATCACAAAATGTTTCCTAGTCGAAGCCAGGGATAAGTGAAAAAAGGTACTGTAAGACATACTCCCAAAGGTTTGTCATCAACCATGTCACATAAAATTTGGAGGTACTTATTTATAAAGCTAAATATTGGGATCTCAAATCAACTGATAGGACCACATGATCCTTCTCTTTATAGATCTGTCCGTTTCGTGCGGAATACTGAGTACTGTGCCAAATTTGCTGTTTAACAACAATTTTAGTTTCGAACAAAATTTTCAAATAAATGTGATTAAACAGCTCACACAAGATAGTGAGCTTCTTAATGTCGCTAGACTTATTAAAACTGGGCAATTGGATCCCCGTTTACCAAGAGCTGATCTGGTTCTCCAATTGCTCCAATGGGTACGATAGTCGTAACGATATAACTAAATATATATGAAAGCTTCATCAAACCCAAAATATAATGGGCGCCGGCGCGCAGATTCAAGCATCATCATGAAAAGTATCCTAACAAATGAGAATGGAATCTTCAGCATTTATGTCTTATTCTAACGGAAATATCAAAAACAATCTTTTATTTAAGTGCTAGCAAACTGATAGAGGCAATGCTAATCACCTTTCCTCTTCCACAGGACCACAACTATAAAAATGTGCGTCAAACAGATACAAGAGTGCATACAAAAACAGATTGGAACAGAATAAAGATAATGTCAACAAGTCAACAGCCAGCCGGAAGCCTAGAAAGGCTTAGAAGATTGCCATGAAGCGTATGCAGTGCCTAAATTCACAAACAGATCATTACCAGGAGAATGCTCAGATAATATTGCAGCATATTCACAATTCTTGGTTCTTTGCTCCTGAACACTACTCTTAAGATCTTCAACTCTAGTCTTTGCAGAATCAATAGCATCCATCAGAGCCATACGCTTGGCCTCTTTGCGAGTCTTCACTGCGTGAACATGCAATTAAGAGTTGCAATAAGTAATAAGCCAACGCTTAGTCACTAAAAGCTATCATGTTCAGATACTTGCGACGATGAAATTATGCAGTCTGGTTCAGAGAAATTCAAATTCAAGTCCACAACTATAAAGGGACAAGATGAGAGTAAATATTTACCTCCCAGGGCTTTAACCAAGTCATCCTCTGCCTCCCTCAATTTAGCTTTGGCCTCTTCTAATTTAGCTGGAAAGACATAGAATAAATCAAAATCTACAATCCGTATTATAAGCGATAGTTATAAAAGCATAGTTACCCGACAAAAGATTGTATCATGGAAAACATGTAAAGGCTCAGAGCCCTAATTTATTATAACCATAACCCAATATCAGTAGGAAATACTGTTCAGAGGAGCAGTTCAATTTGGAAGTAAACTGGTGGGGAAACCTCGCCTTGATACTGAGCAGTTTCTTGTGATCTTGCCCTTAATGATTCAAGGGATTTCATAAAAGAAGAAGAAAAGACGTCAATCTTGTGCTGTAGAACCGGAATCTCTGCATCGCAGATCAAGCGCCCAGACTCCATTTTCTTTAGCACTGATTCAGCCATTTGCGTGCACTAGCTACTAAACGCCGCAACAGGTGTAGTTTCGCCCCATTTTCATGTAGCCCTCCCTTGTTCTCTTGGGAAAAAAGTTGCAGAGCTGTTCTATTGACAGTGAAGAGAAGAAGAATGAACAAAGAAGGATGGCGAAATTGAAGGTCTAAACCAAAATGGGTTTCATGGAGAACGCCAAACCGGAATCGGGAAACGTTTCGAGCTGCAGGGTAGCAGAGGCAAACCACAGAAATAAGAGAAGAAAATGACCGAAATCGATTTCAAACCCTCCTCTGAATTTTATAGCCCGCCATTTTGTATTTGAATTATATTTATAACTAATTATTTTTTAAATATAATTAAGGAAAACTGACAAATGATTAGTTTTCAGGTACTTTAAAAATTAATCTTAGACCAAGAAAAATTATTAATGTTGAATTTAATAATGTGTTCTTATAAACTTGAGATTTAAAAGTGAGTTGCTATTTTTGCTCAAAAAAAAAAAGTGAGTTGCTATTATTCAAATAAAAAAAATGCTCAAGCTAGTGGGTTTTTTTTTTTGGCCAGCGCTTAATTTAATGGGTTGAAGAAATGGAAAGTGAAAAGTATAAGCCATGGGTAGAATAATATATATGATATTTAGCAAAAAAAACAGTACATTATATGCTGAAAAAAGGGAAAATGACAAAAAAAATTGAAAATTACTAAATCCTAAATCAGGTTTGACAACACCACTTTATTTGATATTAACAATACTGAATTTGCAAATCATAACAAATTTTTGTTAATATTCTTTCTTTGATACTTAGTAATTTTTAACTTCTTTTTGTCATTTTTTCTGTTAAAAAAGTAAAAGTATAAAGTTAAAAATAAAAAGTTTTAAATAGAAGTGATTTGGGGGGTGTATGGGTAGAAATAAAACCATAGCTTTAAAAGTACTTTTGTGGTATACGAAGTAAATATGTAAAAAAAAATTTGTCCCAATTTATAAAAAAATACTTTTTAAAAGCACTTCTTGAATAATCCCAATGAAAAAAAAAAATCAGACCAGACCAGCCTGTTCAACCGAAAAACCGATGAACCGGTCTTTGGTCCGGTCTGGTTAAAGGAAAAAACCGACCTATGATCAAACCGGAAAAAAACCAATTCAACTGGTAAAGACCAACCAACCTGCCGGTTAGATAGGTTGTCTGGTTTAATAATTTTAGTCTTCATGTTGTTCACAAAGGCGATTGTCACTCTTGAGGCCATTTGCATTTCTGCCATTAGAAGAGCAAGAGGTGATGATCGAAAATCCAGAGAATCCTACAAAAGAGAGAGGCAGTAATTGAGGAGGGAAAAGATAACTGGGGGAGAAAAAGAGTAGAGAATGAAGAAGATATCTCGGGGTGTTGAGGAGGTGGTGGGAACGTTGAAATAAGAAGGATAGAGGTGGCAGTTGTAACATCCCAAAATTTCTAACCTAGAAATAGGAAAATATGTCACACCCTGATATCTTTAACATGATTAATGAAGGAATTAGGGTTGACCAAGGTTAGGTGAGATAAAAGATAGATAAATAGCACAACAATTGAAGTGAAAACTAAAAAAGAACTAAATTGTCATTTTTAAAATGATTGGTCTATAAAAGGCATTATCGTAATTAGTGTCTGAAAATTCTAAAAATTTCTAGTAAACCATGGAAAATAAAATTAATGCCGTAGAACGGAATTTGAAGTCTAGGAAGTAAATACAGGTTGAAAATAATTTATTAAAAAATTATTTTTAATTATTAATATTTTGGCTAAATTAGGAAAAGTGACCAATATCAATTATTAAAAATACCTAGAGATCTCAAAAAATTATGAAAAATTAAATAAAACTCATTTAGGAATTATGAAGATTTATAAAATTATTTTTAGCCCTAAATGATGAGGATATTAGCTTTAATTGAATTTAACGCTAAATTAATATCACTAGATTGTCTGTTTTTACGGAAACGGCAATTTAAAGAGTTATAGGGGGATAAAAATTATAAAATTAATCAGAAAAGTTCCTTTTATTGAGATATAATTAATGATGATCTGATATAAGAATTCTGAGATACTAGAATTTTTCGGCTATAAGATAAAATAAACCAATATTATATTAAAACTCAATGGACGGTCAGGACAATCGGAGTGGTAAAATTTCTGACAGAATGTCAAGGACACATGTCATGCCCAAATTGGCTAAGAAGGAAAAAAAGAAAATAATAATCAAGTTAGATTAAAATCTAATTAGGATTAAGTAAGATGATTATGGTTAAGTAATCTTCCATAAGATCTTGACACATGGAAAACATGGTTCATTAAATAGCTAGGATTCAACCATCTATCTTTGAAAAGTCAAAAGCTTCTAGAAGGGTAATTAGCCAAGTTAATCAAGGAATTAAGAGAGTTAACCTTAATTAAAGCCTAATTAATCTTAATAGATAAGAAGAGATGATATAAGCCCTAATGACTCACCATCCAAGTGTCAACATATTAAGCCATGTAGCTTAAGATTTGTACATTTGGAAAGAGGTAAAAATTGGAAGGCTAAGATCAAGTCTTATGCAAGAAGAGCATGTGTGGAATTAATAGAAATATGAAGCCTATAAATACCGCCCCCCACATGTTCATTTCATGCAAGGCCATTCAAGTAGGGAAACTCTTGCAAAATTTTATTTAGAGAGAGAAAGAGGAGAGTTTTAGTGAGAGAAAATCACTTGGAAGCAATGTAAGCTTCTACAACTCTTCTATTTCAAGTTATAATGGTTATATGTTGGTTTTATGTTATTTTGACAATGATGGAAAGTTATTTTCCTAAGACGAGGTGCTGCCCAAATTTCATCAAAATGGATAGGAAGGGTTTAGGTTATGTATGATTAAGATTAGGCATGGTTAAAGGTTAAGAATTAAGTGATTACATGTTAGTTTTGTTAAAAATCCTTTTCCCTATGATTATATATAGTGTTTGGCCAAATTGAGAAATGCATGAGGGAAGTTGTTTCAATTCAATTTGATGCTTTCAATAAGTTTAAATGATGATTTAGTGTAGGTATGTACCAAGAAAGTAAGGTTGGAAGCATTAAAATTGAAATGAGAATTTTGAAACCCTAAATGCATAGTGTTCGGCCAAGTCAAGTTCAGGAAGGGATTGGATTTTCATAAAACTAATATGATAAATGGATTCTACATGAAAAATTATGTAGGAAAGGCCCAAGAAAGTTCAAGAATTAAAGCTAGAAAAATAAACCCTAAAAATCAAGGAAAAAGGGGTTTAAGGGGTTATGTTAAGTTATAGAGTTGTAATAATGCTTAATGTTGTATCATTAGTTGCCTAATAGGCTATATACAACAAAGGAGCAAAGATCTAGTCAAGAGGAAAGAATTCAAGAGGAAGGAAAGTATTCAAGGTAGCTTTGCAATCTATTATATTAGAGTGTCACTTTACTTTGTATGATTATGGCTATGTGTTTTGCTAACTTGTTATGCTATGAGGTGGATGAGAGTGTTATGTTATATGATGTCGCCTCCATGCAATTTATTGGCTTATGCTATGTTGAGTGCTATGAATGTTTATGATAATATGTCATTGCCATAGCATGAACATAAAGTTATAATATGCATGCATGTAGCTTGATTTACAATGTATTGTGTGACCTTGATAATGTATGCAATTGCTACTAAGATTCCCCAAGAATCTTATCCTAATATTTAAACAAACCCTAGGGCCTTCAACATCTAGTGGCAAAGGAAGGGAGTTGGCTCTTCCTTGAAAAGGTAGTAAGCCATAGTAACTTTATATGACTTTGAACATTTCTATTTTGGAAGAATGTAATGATAAGCATGCTTTAAGTTTCTAATAGTATGATTGAGGTTAGAAGTATACAAGCATGATTAAAATAGTCTAAGCATGTTAGAAATAGTTAGTATAGTTAATGAGAGTATGTTATGATGGTAAATGGTCAATTAAAGTTAAATTACCCTTTCAAGGGGGTAAAAAGTCAACTACAATGGACCAAAGTTTGACCAATGACCATTTGAGTAAATGAGTGAGTTAGGTTATGAAATTTGGTGAGCAAATATATCTGATTTTTCTCTTTAAAATGAGAGGTAGTTTGCCTGATTCCAATAACCGAGCAGAAAGTTATGCGTTCCTAAAATTAGGCAAAGATAAGGTAAAAATCAAAAAATGACCAAATGAACAGTAAATCTTTCAAAGAAAACTGGGTTCGAAATTTCAAGGCAATCAGTTCAGAAACTATTTTTCCTTAAAATTTTATCCAAAGAGCTTTCCATAAAACTTGGAATCTCTCGATTTCAATTTTTCTATAATTAGTTATGAATTTTCAAAATTTGCTATATTTTAGGGTTACAATGAATAGTAATCCGAAAAAGAAAATTTTCAAACTTGATTTTTCATAACTTGTAGTCTTCAAAAGTGATATCAAATGCTTCCGCAAGGCAAGTTAATTGGTATAAACTTAAGATGTGACAGCGGTGGGGGGATGTGGAAAGAGGAAGAAGAGCAAAATGAGGAGCCATTGAAGACGAGGACAGAGAGGTGAGCGAAGCGAGAAAGTAATCCAAGGAAGTGAAGGGACGATAGGCAATTATTTTACTATTAAAAGAAGGAATGCACAACCTGTAATTTCAGAGCAAGCACGGCAGTCCAAGTCTTCCAAGTCTTTCCTTTGGGCTGGTTGGTTTTTGATTGTGGTACTTGGTGGAGTGATTGAGGGGTAAGCCATAAGCAAATGGAGATTAAAAAAAAAAGATGGTTGCAGAGCAATGATTCAGAGGTGGCCCACACAAAAGGTAAAAGAGTTCCCAAGAAAAGAAGAGTGAAAAATGTTTAGATGGAGTTTGGAATTGAGCCGCTTGAAGAAATTTTTATCAAGGACAGTTTACTAAAATTAAATATTCAAACTATTTTTATGGTTTTTTTGTATTTTGTTGACTGATTATTATTTATAAATATTATTTTAATTAATTAATTATATTATTTTAATATGACCGGTCTAATCTCGATCAGACCATTAACTCTTAACCTACTATCTTGATTGATTCATTGTCCGGTCTGATTTTTTTGTTCTTTGAATAATCCAAATACCTCTGGTCTGGCTCTTGCCCCAACTCACAAACGTCCAAATCCAAAAGCAAGCATTATTTTAATTGGTTTGGCACTTGGGTTTGGGCAAACAAAGCCCATTCATCCCTCGGGCC